TGCTAGGGGGTCACATCATGGCCGACATGTTGAAGGTGCAAGGTGAACGATTGCAATGGTATAAAGATGAGCTCTTGCATTTGGCTCGGGACCTGGGGTACCGTCTCTTGCCTGCTTTCAACACTACCAGCGGACTGCCCTACCCCAGGGTAAGGTAAATTGGATGGTCTTAACTGGCACGTTTGGGGCTGAGGCTTTGCACAGAGTGACCCTAATAGGGCATTGCTAAGGCCTGCAGCATCCAGAGGCTGTGCTTGGGAGCTTCAGGCTGAATGTTACCACCCTTGACAAACTGGCTTTGTGAGTGAGAAGTCGGGGAATGGTGTTGATCTCTCCCAGCAGCCTGGAAATTACAGCATTCCCTGTGTGAGCGAAAGGAGGTCAAAGTCCTCTCTTCAGCAGTTGCTCTGTGGTGCTTTGAGTATTGCATCAGGTGTTAGGCACTTCAATTCCTTGCTGCAATATGTAACATTTGCTCCTGTGGTTCCTTGTGGAGGGACTTTCAGATAACTGTACTTATTCAAAGCCTTTCTCAAAGCCTTTCTGCCCTGTGTGGATGATGGAGGTCCCTTGAGGTGAGCAGATGCTCCAGATCTTGCTAGGATGCACATGCTTCTGGCTGGCTGTTGGCTGTCCTCTGCCCCAGAGGTGGCTGTGGTTTGGCAGTGCTGCATGCAGGTGCTTTGCAGAGTACCACAGAAAGGAAGATGCTGGGCAAGGGAAGTAATCTTGTTGCCATGTGTGGGATGGTATGAATGAGAGCATCTAGCAACAGTGAATGCATGGGATGTCTTCCCAACCAGGTGAACTTGAGATATGGAGTCCTGAGCCCAAATTCCCGGACGGGTACGGAGCTGGACACCTGCACGGCTTGTGCTGGCACCATGATTTTGGAGTTTGCTGCCCTCAGCCGCCTGACACAAGAGACAGTGTTTGAAGTAAGTGATTTGGAGCGGGGGAAAAATGAATCGCATTTGGTTCCCACGTTATTATGGAGACCCTGGGGTGCCCATGCAGGTCCTTTGCACAGGATCAGCAGCGCCTCTTCACAGGCCATGCTGGCCACTGGTTCACCTGAATGTGAGCAAAGACTGTGATCCCCGTAAGGGAGTGAACACCACACTATTAGCCCACCCCCCAGGTGCTACTGCAGCCTCTCACTCTGTGCTGTCCGGATTGGACTTGATACATTTGCTTGTGTCCTGTTTCCATGTTGTGCGGCCATTCTTTCTGCATCAAGCAGGACAGAGAATTAGTGCTGCTGTGCCAATTAATTGTTGATAGGATCCTGCCTGAATCAGCTCTGCAATTCCCTTCCCCCAGAGTCTCTCAAAGGCAAAAAGGGTACAATGGAAGACTGATAGCTGCAAGTCTGGCCATCCAAGACAGCAGCCATTTCACTGAGCTGCACATGCTTTGGCTTGCTTTCTTCTTCCTGGCCCCACAGAGTCTCTCTCTCTCTTGGCTGGCTAAGGAGCTAGCTTCAAACAAACACCAGAGAAGTGGCCAGAGAATGCCTGATCCATGTGCTGCTGGTTTAGAGTGCTTTGCTGGTAAGTGGGAGAAATGCAGGGTCAATCTCCCACTGGGCAGGGTGGGCCTAGATCCTGGGTCTCCTGCTTCCTGGTAAAGTGCCTTTCTCACTCAGCAATTGAGGCTACAACGTGGCATCCTCTTCCAGCATCTAACATCTGTTAGTTATTGGGTTTCTGGACTGCTGTGTGGTTGCATGACTTGGGTGCACTTGTGTGTCTGGAATGGGCATATAGCTGTGTAACTGCCAGCCAGTGTATTGTACCTACCCAGCCTACTCCCACTTGTGTACTTCTCCACAGTGAAAGGGAAATAGGCTTGCTTAGCTGGAAGGCTGTCATTTAGGTGTGCCAAGGGAAATAGAATCCTGCCCTAAGTGACTTGCTCAGGGTCTTGCAGGATGTCAGTGGCAGGGCAAGGGGTTGCACTGAGTTTGTCAGGTCCAGGCTGGCACCCCTTGGTCTGTCTTCCCTGCCGAGTGGCCTGATTGTGTGAGTAATATGACCCCCTGGGTGTGGACAGAAATAATGTTTGAGACGTTTCGCAGTTTAAATATGTTTGGAAATCCATAAAAAAGGGAACATTGCAGCTCTTGTGCAGGCTGTCATCTCACCCACCCCAGGTGCCCTAGCTGGAACCTTTCAAAATTGAAGCCACAGGTTTACAGCAGGGGTGCTAGGAGGGGTGGAGGACATCTCTGGAAATGTCAACCGGGGCAGAGGGAGAAGGGGAGGGGTTAGCAGTGGACACTTCAGGATTTTGACACTCCAGCCCTAGTCCTCTCTACCTAAGTTCTCCCCCTCTCACTGGAGAGGCGAGGTAGTGGAGACTGGGACTGAAGAGCCTGATTATCGGTGGTGGTGGACCCCAGTTGCTGGAGCAGCTGGGACCTGTGGCTATGAAATCTACAGCTGTCACTCAATTTGTTGACTGTTCACTGCCTCTCCAGGCACAGAGGAGGAGGGAGTGTGGAGCACTGTGGGATTGTGGAGCATCTATGGGTCCCCTGTGCCCCTATTTCAGGAGTGGAAAAAGTCCAGCCCACGGGCCAGATTGGGCTTGTGGCCAATTTCTGTTTCCCAGCAGCCCCCGATCATATCGCTGCAGCCAATTTCCAAGGAGAAGAGGCAATGTTGTGACAGCATGGGACCAAGGTTTCCATGGAAACCAGCCCCAGCAGCACTGACAGGGCATGTGCCTGGGCGGGGAGCTGTTCCAGGGCTGGGATCTTGTGATGGTGACAGCATGGTCGAGAGCCAGGGCAGAGCTGGGATCCACTGCCCGCAAGCCCCAGGCCTGGAGCAGGATCCACTTCAAGATCCCAGCCCTGGCCTGGAACAGCTCCACACCCTGCCAGTGATATTGGGGCCAGTCTCCATAGAAACCCTGGCCAGTGCAGGCAGGGACTGCTGGGAAAAGGAGTCCAGCTACTGGCTGGATCTGCCATTTTGCCCATCTTTGCCCTACATACATGACAGGCGTTGAAATGCTTTAAAATAGCACCTAATTTAAGGAGATGTCATTTTGGAGCACTTCAGCTGCTTTTGGAGTGGCTCAAAAGGCAAGTTGATTTGAAAGTGTTAGAAATGCTTCAGTCGTTCTGTCCCTGGTGTGTTGTATGATGGGAGGAGGTGAGAGGTGGAGAGAGCGACTTGTCACATGCACATGAAGTGAGTGAATTCTCTCTCTCTGTCCATTCCTTTGGCCCTGTTTTCAGGACACAGCCCGGAGAGCACTGGACGTCCTCTGGGAGAAGCGCCAAAAAGGGAACAACTTGGTGGGCACGGTCATTAACATTCACAATGGAGACTGGGTCCGGAGGGGTAAGCAAATTACAGGCTTGGGGCTGGATGCTCAAATGATTCCAGGCTCCTGGACCTGCCTGGAGCAGAGATGTACTGACCACTGTCACTCACCTCTGCTCTGTAGGTTGTGGGCTTCTCTTTGGGGGCTAGGGGAGCGTGGGATAATGCATAAAGACCCTCCCTTCCTAGAGGAAAACTAGCCCTTTCTAACAACATCCTACTCTTCAGACTGCCAGCTGGCTAGCTGGGTGATGTTTGGCAGAGGAGGCAGTTCTGGGTAAGGGGCCTCTATTCTGCTTAATGTGATGTTTTTGCCCTAGACAGTGGGGTCGGTGCTGGGATAGATTCGTACTATGAGTACCTCATGAAGGCCTATATCCTGCTTGGAGATGACACCTACCTGGAGAGGTTCAATGCAGTAAGTACACAGCCTACCAGTTTTTTTTATTGCTCCCTGTGGAGTCTTGCCCTTGCCCTACAATCTGCCTGTTCTGATTGGAAGGTCTGGTCTTACGGCACGAAGCCAGCCTGACCCAGGTATGGAAGTCCCACTGCAGTACAGCCCATCTGCAGCGCCTGCCTTTCACACGAATGCCTGCTGTCACTAGGGGACATGGAATGAATCCAGTTGCTTGTGCTCTGCAGCAAGCAGGAAGCCAAGGTGGCAGCATTCCAGGGACACAGCAGGGGGTGAGAGTTGGCCAGCCGACCCCCCACCCCCCTGGCACCTCCTCATCCGTCTCTGCTGGTAGAAACTTGTGGCCAGCTCTGGGAGGAAGTGCATCGTTTCTTCCTTCTCCAGTCTCCCACAAACCCATGGCTGCTTGCTTTCTAGTGAATGCCTTTTCAGGGCCTGCATGGCTGGTTGACAGGAGAGAGAGCTTGGCATCCTCTGTGAGAGAAATGGCAGGGAGGTTTGTGCAGCATTCATAGTCCTTTTTGTGTATTAGTCTGCAGCTGCCAGCAAACTCTCCTCCATTGGCTAATAACATGGGGAATGAACTGTGTGTGGCAGTGGGCCCAAAGGTGAAGATGTTTACTGGGAGAGAGCTGCTCCCTGGTCTGTTCAGCTAGGGTCATTTTGAGGAGTGTGCGAAATGCCTGGAGGTGCCCCCAGTGTGTCCTGTGCCTGATATACTTGCACCTGCGTAACAGAGATGAGACTCCAGGGGCAATCGTCAGTTAGTTCTTGGAAATTAGTGGTGTGCCTAGCTGAGCAGTTGCATTCATAACTAATTATTTGTATATGGGATTTGTAAATCTCTTAGTACCCTGCTGACTCTCGGTGGACTGATAAAGAGCTCATTCCTGCTGTTCACTTAACGCAGAGTGTGTGCGCACGTGTCTCAACAGCATTACGTGGCCATAATGAAGTACATCAGCCAGCCTCCGCTCCTGCTGAATGTCCATATGCACAACCCCACTGTCAGCATTCGGAGCTGGATGGACTCCCTCTTGGCCTTCTTCCCTGGGCTACAGGTAATGCTGCTGTGGGTATGGCAGGTTGGTTTATACTGTGCGGTGTGGGGCTTTGCCAGGTAAAAACAAACCGTTGACTCTGACCGGGCTCTGTTCAGATGCTTCATGGGTTTCACTTTGACTGGTACAGAGAAAGGGCAGAAATAAGACTGGCAACGATGGTTTGTTTATAAAAATACAGACCTCACTTTGGGGTGAGGATGGGATTGTGACCCACTGATCATGGTGAGGAGGAAAAATAGTGTGCAGTTTTGGCTGGGACACAGCTGTGGGAATCCTGAGTCTGGTCTGTGGGACACTGAGAATACTGAGGGGAAATGAGTTGCTGGGCTCTTGAGCCAGCTTTTCGTAGATGAGTATTTGCACCACAAACCCTGCCCTCTGTGCCATGTGCCCAGTGCCTTGCGCCTGACCCCCCTTTCTTTCGACCTATGAGAGGGAGGTTTGGGGTCCCAAGAAATGGTGGGTCAACACTGGAGGCCTTTCGGTGTCTGCTCCTCACACTGGTCCTTTCAGGGAAACGTTGCCTTGCTGCAGATGGGCAGTGCACACAGTTGATGAGCTGCTGTTAGTGACATGTGTTACATACCTTCTGCCATTGCTAAAATTGCTAGGAAGCTTGTGGAGTGGTAGATTATTTTTAGGTGCATTATGTGAGTGCCTAGGAGCCCCAAGTCATAGAACAGGAACCTATAGCTCCAGGCATCAAGCAAATGCTGGACCAAAATATGGCAAGTTGATCCCTGTGGTAAAGGTACTCCATAGGGTAGATCCTGTGCACCTGTGGGACACAGACTGCACCTGCTATGACCCAGAAATATTTCTGAGACCTCTGTTTCCTCTGAGAACGTTCTTATGTCTGTCTCTGTGTGTGTGGTGAGAAAAGGGCTTGTCTCCTAGGTGCTGAGAGGGGATTTGAAGCCTGCTATTGAGACGCATGAGATGCTATACCAGGTCACCAAGCAGCACAAATTCCTCCCTGAGGTGAGCATGTGAGCAGCACCGCAAGTCTGTCCTGCTCCGGACATGGCCTTTGGTCTGTGGGTGTTCAGCGTTCTGGCCAACCATACCTGCCACAGGGGAGGCATCTTTTCCTGTGTTCTAATGCTGTAACTCAGACGTTGTTTCCTTTCTGCCCTGGGGAGTGAGTGACTGGCTTGGCTGTGAAAGGATTATGAACCTCCAGGAGACAGCCAGATGGAGAGGAAAACAGGTGTGGTATTCCAGCTTCTTCTGTGGGTGCCAGTGGCCCATGGCTCAAGCTCTTGAACCTGTATCATCTCTTCAGCTTCCATAAAAAGGATTAGAAGGAAAGTCCCCAGTCCACTGATGAGCACAGACTACCACTGACCTTGGTGGGTGTAGAGGAAGCCCTTTGTGCAGCAGGGGACCCATGGGTCTTGTTTGTGCTTTTAACTCTTGCACCATCTGAGCGGGACTCCCAACACCCTCCTCATGTCTCCAAGATTGAAGTGTCTGAAGGGCGCTCCCAGGTTCTGGGATGCAGGCCTCCTAGGGAAAGACAGGCAGGGGCATAGCCTTGCTGAGAAAGGAAGGGGTGGGGGGCCTGCAGGGTCAATATCATTGTGGGAGGGAGATATTGTAATGGGACCGCTGACCTTCTGGGTCCTTGACTGTCTCTGTTTCCCGCATTCTGCCTTTTCTACAGCAAGGATGAGCATTGCCCTATGTAAGAAGTGGAGAGGATTGGAGGACTTAGGCATAGAGTGTAGACAGACTACTATACCTACACCAAAACTATACAATAGGGCTGCCTGAGCAATGGCATATGTATTTGACTGGGGCTCTGTGGCTCCCAACTGAGATGGGGGCCCCACTGGGGAGGCACTGTATATATGCACAGTGAGAGAAAGACAGTCCATAACTGAAGGGCTCAGAAGCTAAGGACAGAGGAAGCTGAGACAGGTGAAGGAACTGGATCAAGAATGGCCAATACATTTGCAGTGACTGGGCCCATGGACCTCGCTGATAAACCAACCTGTCACTTGGCCCTTGCTAGACAAGGTTTGCAGGGCTGCAAAGTGACCACTAGTGCTGACCCTTTTTTGGATAAACTGACACGCTGTTCTCAGAAAAATAACCGTGCCTTGAAGAAGGCTGACATCTTGGCTAGAAATGTTGGGCGGGGGGCATGCTGTTCTCTCTCAGTACACATGCAGGCTTCACTACTGAAAGGTATGTGCATATTTCCCCTTGTCTCTTAAATGGAAAAAGGAAGCCAAACACAAACCTCTCCCTTCTCAGCTGCCTTTACTGTGACCATCCTTGGCCTGCATTTCTTTCCCTTTCTTCCCACTTTGGTTAAATCTCCTCTCACCTTTACTTTCTTTGGCTATTCCTCCTGGGTCGTGCAGTCTGAAATCTTTTACAAGTTGGGGGAAGATTTAGAGGAATTAAACCTGATACCAGGATCATTTTCATTCTCATTGGTATAGAACAAACCAAGGTGGAGTCCATAGGCAACCAGCATTGCAAAAACACCATGCCAGATGGCAGGGGGGCGTTATGCAACTCTGGGAACTTGTGAAGCATGATTTGAATGCAAAATTGTTCTGTTTTCCAGAGGCAAGAAGGGTGGAGAGGGAGATTGGGTAATAATAATAATGCTGCCTTGCTTTATATAACATGTTTCCAAGCACTTTACAAAGGCAGGTAAATAGTGCCTGTACTGTATGAAGATGAACATGGAGGCACAGAGCAGCAAAGTGGCTTGCTAAAGGCAACTTGGCACACCTGTGGCAGAGCTGAGGGTATAACTCAGGATACCTGTGTCCCAGGGCAGTGTTCTTCTCTAGACCATGGCTTTGAGCCTCAGAGTCTACCTCCTGCATCTTTCTTAATGGCAGGCTGTGGCAGTGGCGGCTTGTATCTCACCATGTTTTCTCTCTCTGCTTATCAAAGGCATTCACGTCAGACTTTGCTGTGTACTGGGCCCAGCATCCTTTGAGGCCCGAGTTTGCAGAAAGCACCTACTTCTTGTACAAGGTTAGTCTCTTCCCATGTCTAACTGTTGACAAGGTGACACAGCCTTGCAGTGCCTGCAAGGGAAGGAAGACTTAGACAAGAGGGCTCGGTGCTGTCATTGAGGACTAAAGGCCAGAGGGAGCATCAGCCTTTGGTAGCAGCCTGTCAGCTAAGGGTGGACAGGGAGGTGCTTGGTTTGTCTTGGGGTGCTTGGGGAATGGGATTTGGTCATGTTTTTTAGACACCCAAGATTCCTGCATGAGTGGTGGAGATGGGGAAGGTCTGCTAAGTTCCTTCAGCCTTGAGGAGGAGTGGGGAAGGGAGCGTGGCTGGACTCCCTTTACAAACGGGACTCCTCTTGTCCCCCTTGTAAGCGTGCCATGATGTCCTCTTTCCTTACCCAGAATGCCTGTGTGGTGGTACTTTAGTGTGGGTAGAACAACTTGGGTGGTGTGGAATATCTTCCTCTACTTCCTTTCAAAGGCTACTCGGGACCCCTACTACCTCCATGTGGGCAAATCTATCATAGAGAGCCTGAACAGGCATGCCCGGGTAGAGTGCGGCTTTGCGGCGGTGCAGGACGTGCGGACTGGCCGACACGAGGATAGGTAAACCCTGTCCCACCCTGGGTGATATGGAGTAGCAGCAGGATGGAGCCAGGGGGCACATACATGGGCGAGCACGTGGCTGGTATCTGGTGGGAGAGGCCCAGCACTTGCACAGTCCTGGGGCTGGGTAAACCACTGGTACTTGTACTGGGAATGGACTAAATAGATATGCATGGGTGGTGCCTGCAGCCATTGCCCATTAGTTGGGTGGGGTGGGGTTTGCCCATGCAGTTCCTTGGGCTTTCCTTTCCCCCATTAGGTAAAGAGGGGATGAGAGTTCTTCTTAACGCAGGCCAGGCAGATGAGTGTACAAAGTTCTTCCTGACTCAGGATGCCAGGCATTTGCTGCACCAGCCTGGCAGGCGGGCAGTGAAGCCACCCAGGCACACATGTTCAGCTGTTCCAGCGTGTTCCCAGTGTTCAGCACACTGCAGGGATGCCAAAGTGAGGTGTTTATCAGCCTCTCCCTGCTCTTGCCATTGACCACACATTAGTATTGCGTTAGGAGCATTGCGAACTGTGTCTAGAGAGGACAGTGCTTTAAATCCACCTGCTCTGCCCTGGCGTGCATAGGCCCTGAGGTGACTAAAAGTAGTTTTGTCCTCTAGAGCTTGACAGAGTGAGGTAAAGGCTGTAATTGCCATCCTGCTCCTGAAAACAATGCTGTGGGGTTGGAACTCCCCAACGTAACAGGCTTTTCTAGCACTGTGACTTTGCATGATCCTAGAGGTATATCTAGAGAGGCCCCCCCCCCCCTTGAGTCCTGACTGACATGGGAGAGCCAACAGAAGGATAGGACAAGCATAACAGTAGTGCTTGATTCTCTTGGACCTAAGTTGTCCTTGGGCAGGGCAAGCGGTATTAGGTGATGGAGAAAGAAGCAGCAGTCCCCTCCTTGTACATTCTGTCTGGAGGGGGTGGAGTGGCACAGCCTTCTTGACTGGTGGTTCTTCTGTATGAAATCGGAAGATGGGCGAGGCGTGAAGGCAGAGGGAGATCACAGAGGCCTCAGTATTTCATGTGTTTCCCACATTTCCCTTGTCATGATGGGGCATGGTAAACGTTGAGTGGGGAGCAGTGTCCTCTGCAGAGACCCCTGGGGCTGCAGATAAATCTTTGTGGGTGCGCACATTCTCATCTCCTTGGTTGCAGCAGATGCAGCCTCTAACCACCATGTCTGTTTGTCATGCAGGATGGACTCCTTTTTCCTGGCCGAGATGTTTAAGTACCTCTACTTGCTTTTCACAGAGAAGCGAGATCTGCCTCTAGACATTGACGATTACATCTTTACCACAGAGGCCCACCTGCTGCCCTTATCCCTCTCCACCACCCGGCCCCCCTGCCCAAGGAATACGACCGTACGTTGGCCTCAGGCTCAGCAAAGCAGCAGGGGCACAGTTAGGTTTGCTGCAGCTTATGGTTGAGTCCAGCATGCCCTGTGCACGGGACTGTCTTCAGGGGAGAAAGTCAGTATAGGTTTGGAACTTGGGGCAGAGTGAGAGTCGTGCAGGCTTGGCTCTCTAAAGGGCTCTAGTCATCCATGAAAACTGCAGCTTAACCATGTAGTTCCACGCATGTAGTTCCATGGCACAATTGGCTTGCATTGCCATGAAGCTTGCATGCAAAGAAAGTAGTTTATCCACATCAGGAACTTCCCTGCCCCACCAATGAGGCACCAAGATGTGAAGTGTGGTAGGCAAAGTCACCTAGCAGGGCAAAAAGTTGAGTAGTCTCTCCATTGTGCTGTTCCTTGGACCGTGCTATGGCCTGAAGAGCAGCTTTCCAGAGTTTGGAGCTGTGAATATCTTCACAGCTGGAGGTCCTTGGCAGGGGTTCTTTCAGAGCGGTGTGCCGTGGGCACATGCTGGTAGGTTGTGATAGGGCTGTGAGCCTCCTGTGTGAGGTGCTGTAGAAAAAGTCTCGTGGACTTTTGGGATGTTTTTGGCTGGGGCTTTTCAGCAGAGACAGGGAAGTGTGGTGGTACTATGGTGGAAGGTGCTGGTAACATCTAGAGTATTGTCCTGTGGCACAGTTGCCTCAGGCCTGGGTTGACAGTCAGTGGAACAGTGTGGAGGGAAGGGATGTGGCATTACCATCACAGGGTTTGGGTAAGATTGTTAGCATGGACAGACAAATTACGGCAGGGTAGAAGGCAGAGAGACCTGCTGTGTGTTCATTGCACAGCAGTAATTTCTTCTGTGCCTGCTCCTGCCTTAGAAGGCAAAGCATCGTGCCTTAGCTCTCCTTCAGGGACGGCAGAGCTTTGCTGGAGTTTAGCCTTTGCTTTTTGTGGTGTATAAATGCACACATGCCCATGCCCATTAACTGTGTGTCTGTGGCTTGGTGATGGGATGCCCCAGGCTCTGTAATTTTGCTGTAGTTTGTGTGAGAATAAGACCCATCCCACAGCACCATGTGTGTACCATCCCCGGGAGCAATGGGAATGGAGGTGCATCTTTCCCTGCAGATGCTTCACGGGGGCCTTGCCGAGGAAGAGGAGATCTTTACCCGATCGTGCCCCAGTGCTCAGACCCTCTTCCCCAATAACCCAACCTTCCCTTACACCATACGTGACACCCACAAGCACCTGCCATCACTGGGGACGGAGCGCCTTACGCTGTTCAGGTGAGCAGCGGTCCCACAGGCTGTCACTGGGTCCTGTGCTGCGGCACTACACCCTGTGTTTTAGTAGCCCTGACTGTTGACCTTTGTGTTCCCTCAGCGGGATTGAGCTTCCTCTTCATGACACCAGGACGGAGCCCTTGGAGATTCTGAAGCACCTGGGACTCACCCTCATTCCCCTGGGTGATGGGAGTGTGCATATGGCTGGTGCCCAGCACAAGGTGAGAACCGAGGGTTCCCTGCATGGCAGTGCACACTTGTTTTCAGCTTTTTCAGGAGTGCCATGTCACTATGGGCAGCTGGTAAGAGCCTGTCCCAAGGCCTCTGCTGACAGACAGGCTTCCCACAGCAGTGCTGAGGTCTGTGTCATGGGCTCTTACCATTTTGCATGATGTCTAGAGACCACGGCCTGCCAAACAATCGCAGCTCTTGGGCAGTTACTGAAGACATGCTCATGAGCCCTTGGCTTGTACCTGTAGTCATGTAAGATACAAGGAGATTTGGTAATCAAGTCATGTCAGAGCCAGACCTGAGCGGGGGAGAGCAGGCATATTACCTGCAGTAGGTAGTCTGGGGAGCTGCCATAGAGCAGAGGGCAGAATAATTCGACAGCACGGTCCCTAGTGCGTGCTCTGACTCCCTCCCTGCCCACAGTCCTGTGTTGGCATCATGTTCCACAAAGGATTAGGTGACAAGAGCCTTGGCTTTTGATGCTGGAGGCACCCACAACAAACAGGTGCTATGATACTTAGGTGTCAAGGCTTAGCAGCTGATGGCCTCAGAGCAAAAAGTGCATTTCTTTTTCTGCAGCATGAAGTGTCTCCTGTGGAGGTGTTCACCCTGAAGTTCATCGCTGAGCTGGTCAGCCCTCCTTCAAGAGAGCCTCCAGGCCTCTCCCCACTTGCTGTCCAAGTCATTTCCCCCCCATTTTTAGGGAGAATGGTACTCACTGCTGGGCCAGCCCAGTTCGGCATGGACCTGACCAAAGAGGAGCATGGGGTGAGTGCAGTTTGTCAGCAATTTGACCTCTGGAGCAGGGTAGTCAGAGTGTGTGAGTCAGGGAGCATAGCAGTGGTAGGCAGAGCCTAAACATTTAAAGAAGGAGTATGAGGAGATCAGCAACTCAGCAGGAACATCATACCCTGCTGAGGATCCATACCATTGTAGTTTTATCTTGGATAGCTTTGTCAACAGAAGTCGAGGAAAGAGGACCTGCCACCAACGCAGTAACAACTGAATGAGAAAAAGGG